ATTGGAATGTTATGACGTCCTTCTCTCCCCCCCGCTCCGCGACCCATTAATCAGCACTTTGGTAAAATGACCACTGGATTGGCAATTTAATAAGAGCATGCAGACTGCCTTACTCTAGAAACTAGAAGAACTTAAATGACGCCATTGCACGGCAAGGCTTACTCGATGGATAGTCGGTCATTTTCCAATCGATCACAGTTGCACTTCAAGGCTGCTCTATTTAATAACGTATATTCATGCATATTTAATGGATTTTTAATAAATGAACTATTTTAATTTACAGTACATTTTTTAACTGCCTCAAATAGAGCATGGATAGAGATGATAGGTACCTATAAAAGTGGTATCGTCGGCATACATTGGTAATTGACATTTCTGTGATTTAAGTATATCATAACAAAAATATTGAACAACGTAGGTTCAAAAACTGATCCTTTTGGGACTCAAACTTTTATATGATTTATCTGAGATGTATCAGTGCATATTAGTACTTGAAAGGAGTGATCTGTTATAAACAAGAATATAAATATATATAGATATGTTGGCGGATTGGGTTTTGTTTTTGTGATAGGCCGTAATTGTGTATTATTTATTTTCGAATCCATTAACTATTATTCTAATATTCTTTAAAGTTGGTGACAACTGGAGGGTAGGGATTTGAAACCAAATTAAGTCAGCTCTAGTTGTACCTAAAATGTATGTAGATATAGATTTATCATAATCTGCTGCTAAGTTGGCAAAATGAAATTTGGTGTCCTTGATTTATCGAGGCAACCTTAATAATGCAAGTGGCTACTCGGCGGACAAACAGTAAAAATTTAGCTATTTCCCTATATTCTATTATAATCATACGTAGATGATACTTGCATTATTAATTATTATAATTTTAAGCTATACGTAGATAGTATGCTATATTTATACTGCTATTGTTATTGTTAATATCCTATTGAGTATATTATACTACGAGTTATTGATTTAATAATATTATAAAATCAATACCATTACTAAATAATAAATGGAGGACAAGAATAGTGTTTAAATATCCGATTTTATTCTTATTTATAGAAATTCGCTATTGCAAGTCCGACGAGCTATAGCAGATAAGCGAGAAAGTGGTGTCGCAGGGATGGATATCATATACCGTCCCCACAACACCATATACCATATACCGTTTACTATATTTAAGAATATATTAATATTCTTATAACAACGTTAAATTTATTTTGGATCATTATTATTTTTTTTTTATTCATCTATCGAGAAAAGTCTGACAATTCAAGTTTTCTATTTTAAATGCTATTTATTAAAGTGCATTTGGATTACACAATAATTTTTTATTTTTCCTTTTCTGATACGTACACAAATAAATCAGGAGGTTTTCTAACTCACAAACTGGCCACACACAGCTGTTCATATGAGAAACATGAATTTACAAAATGCAGTTTACACACTTGTTATGCTTGTCCTTGTGTTTAGTTGATGATCAATGCAAAAGTGAGTCGCACCGGAAACTGCTGTTTGAATTTGAATTGCATATCTGTTGGAGTCATTGTAATATGTGGTAATAATATACATCTTCGCCTCCAAATTTTCAGTTTAAAATTATAGCTTTGATAATGTTGTACATCAATTGTTTTATCGAAAGCCTGGTACCATTGCAAAGTGATAATGGATAAAGTAGTAAAATTAATGTTTCATAAAATAATGATGGACATGCTAATTTTCAATATTAGAATGTGCGGCAAATCAAATTAATTTAAAAATTTAGTTGAATTGTATTCCAAGTATTATACATTTGCATGTAACATACAAAACATTTTTTATAAATTAATATCTTATACAGAGATCAAAAAGATGAGTTGAAGGTCGTTTTTGGAGGAGAAGATAGTCGCTCTTGGGAATTATTTTCAATAAAATAGACACAATCATGATTTTCAAGGTGCACACTAAGGTGTGTGATAATGAGGTTCATTTCCCTTTTTTTTTGGTTGTTGTAGAAAATACACAATACAAAAAACTAATTTTTTGGACTTTATCAGATTTATGATGCTTTCCTTTATTTTTTTTCGCAACGAAAGATAGACTACGTCCTTCTATTTTATCAATCTCTTTACCAAATTTCTTCAAAATCGGTTAAGTGGTTTCGGAATCCATTGGACACAAACACTTAAGTCCGTAAGCAGAAAATTTGTTTCAAGTGATACTGATTATTTTATTGTAGTTTTTATTTTATATTTTATATAAAATTTAAATTTATATACATTAATAGTGCATATTTTTCTGTTTTTATTTAATTTTTCAAGTTTTCAAAGCATTTTACGGCGTTTATTCACTCAAAACTTGCACGTTTAGAATGTTATCTACTAAATTAATAAACTAATAAATACCAGTATATCGGTCCATTTAGATATTTTATCGAAAATAGAACACAAGTAAAATTGTCGAATGAAATTTTTCTATTTGCAACGACGATCAAATTTAAATAAAGTTAAATAAAATGTAAACATTAAACAAATAGGTACCTATTTTATAATTATTATGTTAAATAAATATAATTAAACATGTTTGGTAACATGATTTTTATAATATCATTTTTAAACTGTAATAAATACATATTTTAACGCATTTTTGTAGTACATTTTTTTTATAATTTTTGCATTTTTTCTATTTTTAAATTATTAAAATCCTAGCCCTAATGATCATTTTTATAAAATAGAAGACATAACGAAGGTAGGCAATATAGTTTATATACAAGTAGTTAGAATTGCATTATAATATTTCACCTCGGCAACTCGTAAAAAATCAAATTTTAAATTTTAAAAATTATGCTAAAAAAAAAAACAAGTTAAAAATAAAAACGTTCTTTGTTACGTCAGCAAAAACTACAAATAAACTTATTTTATAAGATGTGTAAGCAATTAGTAGTCTGTACTGTAAATATAATATACTGTATACTGTGTACTATATACTGTACTATAATCTGTACTGTATTAATATTTATTATAGCCAGTGACATATTTATATGCAGGCACTATAGAAATGAGCATTCAGTGGAAAATTTGAAGAATTTATTTTGTTATTTATTATTAATAAAAATGGTTTAATTCTTAATATATTATGTTTTAGTATTAAAATAAAATTTGTTTAGAATACTTAGCTAACTAATATATAATTTATAGTTGGTAATTAAATGATAATTCAATTAGTGCGAAACATTATTATAGTTATTTAGAGCGGCAATTTTCCATAGGCTTACACGCGGGAAATAAAAATGCGCCCTTGATTATAACGTAATTCAGCGGTTCCCAAACAATGCTCCGCGGAACCCTTAGGGCTCTAAAATTGTATCTCAAAGAAACCGTTCGTTTTATAATAAAAAATTGAATAATATAATACATTATATTATTAAATTTTTTAACTATAGTTATTAATAGTTACTTAAAACACCGAACGTATATATTTTAAGAAAAATCTGTTAAAGCAAATATAATTCACTGATGGAAATACATATAATATTAAAATCCTGACAAAAAAAATATGGGGTTGTTTAATTTTAATTAATATCCATTCCCATTTCAGGTATTATCCAGCCAGGTATATTATATTTAAATGTAATATTAAATATACATTATACAATTTTGAGTATCCTCCTATATACAGGGCTGTATTAGCGGATACCCGCTTTAGGACACAATAGGCACCTAAGTGCTCTAAAGCCTATTAAAATTTTTGGCTTGCGAAAATATGTGGCTATTATTTTTTTGTTAAATTTTTTTATTTTTTTTTTTATTATTATAATAACTTGATACATACAATCGAAACGACTGTACACGTTTGCACGAGTAAAATATTATGTATAAGAATTTATAGACAAAAATAATTATATTACTCTTATAATGTTGTTTTCTCAGGTCTTCAATTTTCGTAATTAGTATATCAATTATTGGACAAAATAAATTATCTTTATTATCGGTACTTGCCATTTAAATACTAGACACTGCAGAGCCGTCTTAGCACTAAAAGCACTGTACCTTGGACATAGGGCCTACGATAGTGTTAATCCGGGCCTGCTTATTTACATAACATGTGTTATATGCTTCAAAGAACATAGGAAAATAAAACTTAGTATTAAATATTTCTTGAGGTTCCACGAGAAAATACTGCTTAAATACTCCGTGTCTGGAAAAGTTTGGGAATCGCTGATATAAATGAACGGTCGGCAAATGACGGACCGCAAGCACAGGCAACTAATAATGGACAGGAATGCCAACAATCAAATTTAAAAAACCAGCCTTAAATGAAAGTGAAAATGTACTATATTTAATTAGTCTAAACTTTTAGTTTGACGAATTGTATTACGGCAACATCATCGAATTTATTGCAAAGCTTATTGTTATAAATACCCTTTACTCAAATAGGTAAAAATATAAATTAAAAAACTGTAAATATTTAATAAACAATAAACGAATAATTGGAATAAAAAGTTTGCTATCACTGTCCATTTTTCTGAAATCTAAACTCAAAAGATACCTAGGAAGTTTTATTTTACAATTTACTAATAACAAAAATAATCTCATAAAATGTATAAATGTATAATCATTATTTTTTGATTATTAATTATTATCAATTATCAATAATATATGCCATGTGCGTCTGGCGTCAACTGCTTTTATTTGGCAGTTGCTCGACAGTGGATAGTCGTACAATGATACCGTGTGACAACGAAAAAAAGTTAACGCACTAACAATTTGATTGAGTGTAAAAACTAATAAGGTATTATGATTAAACATTGAAAACGTATATTAATTTATGAAAAATAAAATAACCGGCCTTTTATATGGTCGGTTTGATGCAAACCCGGTAGCCGGCCTTGGTATTAAAAAAAACCGGTCGATTGGCAACCTTGCTGGTGAACCGTCAACATATCATTTTTTGAAACATTAATTTATTATTTTAAAAAGTTTTTAAAACGATTTGATGAACAAATATGTTATGTTTTATTTGATTTATCAAACTCAGTTATGATAGTAATAATAAAGTACTTTTTTTTTAACGTTTTAAAACACGAAGTCTCTTAGTCGTCCAGAGCACTCAACGTGGTGGTACAGTTATAGAAATGACCTTCAATGTGGACCAATTCTACTGATGAACACGAGAAAGCGGAGGAACTATAGTTGAGTCTAATGGCATTGATTCTTTAGCGCTGCATCTGATGTACAGTTACAATGATCTAATTGAATGTGCATTTTTGATCCTAAATTGAGTATTTACAATGTACATCATTATTATATTAATTTTCCAGGTTTTCATTAAAAACGTAACATGTAAAATTTATATCTGTAACAAATGGCGTCGTCTATTCAGTATTTATATACGAATGCAACTAATATTATTTATCGACTACTTAGATACAGCAGCTCTGTTTCTGTCTCAATAGGGGAAAAAAAAAGGAACAAATGTTTTGCTGTAAAGCTGTATTATCGTCTGGATAAAAAAAAAACGTACGGAAAAAAAATGTCCTGCATTTCGCACTTGTAACGTTATACCGGAATAAAACATTTTTTGTCCACAGATTCAACAGATCAAATGCTTTACCGGGGTGGTACGCATTTTAACTGATCATATTACACGTCAATGTATTCCAAGGGTTTTATAGTATCGGTGCGAGTTCGTTTCCAGTGCATTACTCGGGACGAAGAACGCACCAACACGTGCCACAATCCAAAGGCTATCGGAATCAAACGATCATCGGGGCCAATGAACTTCCATAGGTCACACAATGCAAATCGCTGCCGCTTTAAGCACCGTGCTGTTGTATATATCTATAGTCTTACGATTGTTCCGTAATGTAATACCGTGTCGGTCATGCGTTTCAAAGACGCGATAGGCCACCGAACTGGCAACAGTTGTAATTAACAGCACAGGTACTTAAGTTTAATAACCATTGCGTTTAACTGTGTTTTGTACGTAGACATTCAGTTTATTATAATGTAATAATATCTTATTATAATGTAATGAAGGAAATCGTCCTAGGACTGTCCTGTTTAATTCACATAACGTTTTCTGTTTTTTAAGTTTTCAACAAATATCGTTCGAAAGCAGTGAAATAATCTGTATATTCATAAATATCATGAAATTCCAAACAATCTCTAATAAAATAAAAACATTGAAAGTTGCTCAATATAAATGTGTGTTTTACTTATGCCTCAAGAAAATTGGCTGTCAATTATTTGTAAAATAAAATTACTTTTTACCGGAGAACCTATACACGTGGAAATATGTATTCTTTTTGATTTCGAAAATCTGATATTATAAATCTACTAAATCTCTAAAGGTTTTAAACAATTTTGAACTATACAAGCGAATATTCAAATCATAACCTGAACAATTATAACACGAGTAAATTAATATTTAAAAATAAAAGTGCACAAGCAACGTATCATATAATTCATTTATTCGGAAGAAAGAAAAAAAAGTAATTTTTTTCAATAATGGGTTAGTAAACTTTCGAGTTATAACAAAATCAGTCGAATGCAAACAAATTGAAAGACGGGGTGCTTTAAAATCCTTAACGTCCATGCGGTCTACAAACGATTTCAACAGCGATTTTCACGTAAAAATTTGAGTATTTGACTATGTCCAAATTTTTATTAGATCTTAGTGCATTAGTTTTGATAATATGCATTACGTATATTATAATATAGTATACACGTAGTTTATCGTTACAGTTTCGTTGTAGTATGTATTGTTATTCACTAATAGAATAGTTGCATTCAGTGGCGATTTTTAGAAATTTGTCTGTGGGGGAGAGAGATCCTTTGATACAATCTCATAAAAGACCCCTAAACTCTCCCTCCATAAAACTACCATTGGCTGCAATGCTACATATTACATACATTATAACAGTCAACGCGCAGACTGGAGAATAAATTCGTGAAATACAATCATTAAAAATAATTACTGTGAATAATGAAATTCAATTTCAAATGAAATTAGAAAACAATCAACACTATAGTCTGTACATGTAATATCGTGTACCTACTACTTGTTTACAATGCATACGACACAACAAGTTATACTATGTACAGAAACATAATATGTTGTGGGAACTCTATAGAACGTTAACTGTTACGAGACAAACAATATCGAATGGAGTCAAGGGTTAACTACGAGTATAATGCTTACATAAATATAAATGAACGATGTACCTATGTATATTATGTATGATATAACTAATTGTTTGAACAACGAAAAAAAAATAGTTCTACAATATATAATATTATGTGATACGCCTTATATTTCGGCGTTACTATTATTTAATGCAACAGCAAATGTACTAATATATTATTAGTTTTGTAGGAATACTTAAATTAATTGATTAACAACCTGCTTTTTAAGCTTGAAAAAATATCTTTTCTGTTATTTCATTTAATTTTTAATGTTATTAATTATAATTTATAATTTATGTTAATGATTCGAAACTTAATCATTTACATATCCTATACTGGATATACTTACTAAAATATATCAGAGTGATGTACGTTACAGTGTGGATAATTTCAATAAAAATGTTGCATATTTTTGCACATGTATTTCTACTTCGTATTAATGATTTCGTTGCGTTGGGTAATTTTTTTATATTTTTGATCAGGAGTGTAAATTTTGATTATTCTGAATAATTAATAAGAAAAAATAACATAATGGCCTCAAAAATTGCCAATAGCTTTGTGTACTTTTCTGAACTCGATTTAATGTCTACGATTAAACATTAAGTGGAATGCAATATCCTCTCTCCCACATCACACGTATAGGTTAAACCTATGGTTTCGATAATAATTCACATCGAGTTGACATAGCAATAATTGATCGACGATTATTGCACTACCGCATGCATGAAGTGCCTTATAATTAAAAATTTAAATACAACCAGCACCGTTCGAATAGACGATTCAATTGTTACGTCCAACGTGTAACATTGGAACGGGACGAAGTAATGGAAGTAAGATAGAAAAAAATACGCAATTACAGACCGTTAACCATGCGAATTCATACGGATCCAACGCACGCGAAAACACTGTAATGTGTTTGTTGTACACAGGGACGGGTTTTATCCCTAACCAAGAGAGGGGCTAATGGAGATTTGAGAATTTAGTTAGTTGGTTTTTCAAATCTATATAAAATTTTAAATTACAAAATATGTTTTTTAGTCCCTCATAAGTAAGTCATTTTTTTTACAATAATGACAAAGTTTAAATAGTTACATTATTGGTATCAATTTTAATCTGAAATCATGTTAAAATATAGGTAAATACATATAATTAACAACAAAAGTGAGCTCTTTATTTATAAAAAAAGTATTTAAAATAGGTACCACATTCATCAATGACCATTAACGATATTTCATTATAAATATTGATATATAATAATACTTTGATATGTAAAATAGATAGCTTAATCCCATGGGCAGAGGGCTAACGCCACCCCCTTACACCCGCCCGTGGTTGTACACCTGAGCTCGTACGCGACCGTACGACGTACGTACAGGAACTGTTAACACGACGGCCGCGGTAGCGTTTGGTTTTCGTAACTTTTTTTGCAACTCGTACCGGATGTGCCGCAGCAACAAGTGCGTGCATGATTTGTGCACACCTGCGTGAATCGTGTGGGTGTTAGTTTACGCGCAACGGACTTGATTCCTTCGTTTTTTTGAATTTCATCAATACACATCCCAGTTCGTATAACACATTTCAATGTGTACAACTACCAACTACATCACTACACCACGTTGGTCGTCGGCATTGGATCTGTTGGGCCCACCACGTAATATGTGTTACAATACATTTATTATGTCGATAATACCTAATAATATGCTCATCGAACGAAATTCGCGTACTCAAATCAGAAACACATTGTACGATTTTACTCGTTGTACACGTTAAATGATTTAACAACGAAAAAACAGACTGGAGGAGGAAATCAGATTCGATTACATTGCCTCAGTCCTGTTGAATATACTACATGCTAGCACGAGACTAAAACTATAAATTAGGGGGGAGGGCGTTCATTTATAGGATATATTATAGGATAGAAAACTAATACAAGTTAATTAACAATTAAAATTAGAATTTTATTAATTATTGTTAATTTTTAATTATTATTATATTTAATCGTCAATAATTTTACAATCGATTTTGATATTAATAGAAGTTTAATGAAAATTATGATTTTATGAGGAAGTAGTGATAAAGTATAATATATGTTGTAAACATGGTGGTAAACACAAAGGACCTAATCTTGATTTATTATTTTTTTTTTTGAAGGAGGTCACGACCCCCATAATTCTCCTTGATTCACGTTTATCTAGTGGTTAGGTACACTAAAATAATATTAATATACTATTATTGATGCTTAGCCCTAGAAAATCAATAATAGTATAATAGTATTAGGTACGTTATTTATTTTTATTCACATAAGACATTTTTTAAATATTATTTTCGCAATTATTTATGTTATAAGTCACGATATAAAATCAATATTAGCTAACCTTATAACATTTTTCAGGCGCAGCATATAATACAACCATACAGGGAAGTTCACGTGTACGGAAAAATGTATTTTTCATAATCCACAAATATTACGTTTATATTATTACGTCATCGTTGATAAACGAATTTACCAAGCAGTATATGATGATACATAGATACACTGTTTCAGGTGTACGAATATTGAAAAACGCTCTCTAGTTGATCGCAATCTCATTTTTAAACTAATCGCGTAATAATAACGTAGGTGCGCATTTAATAAGCTTATGGGTTATTGTAGTGTTACGGATCAGATTTATGTCATGCGAATGTAATTATAACAATGTGATCCGGGTCGTTTATCGTATCAGTGGCCTATTTGAGAGGGGACAATAAGAGTAATCACCCCCACCGAGATTTTTTTTACTGTTTTGCGAAAGTTGTGATAATAATAAGTTAAATTTCATTATTATAACTATTCACCTAACATGTCTTCCAGCAAAATAAGTACCTAATTTTCTAATTACAATAGAAACCATTTCCAACACCAGCACCACGTTCTGTGTTATAATTTTATAAATAATTATTAATAAAGAAAAATATATTATCTATAACAGTGGTTCTCGACCAGTGTGCCGTGAGATCGACTAGTTGTGTCGTAAAAGAGTTCTGATATTTGTGATTATGCTGGTAAAAAATATTGAAAACAGTAGGTATTTTATTTCATTATATTTATTTTTAAAAAATACAAAAACAAAAAAAATATTTTGAGTACTAAATTATTTAAGCAAAGGAATATTATATCGTAAAGAGAAAATATTTGATATTATTAGTGAGAAACTTGAGTTTGTCGTTTCTTACACAAGGTTCGGTATGTAGTGGAATTGAAGACAAGCCACACATATTTTCTGATCAATGGAAAAAACCTTTCCTGTTTTTTTTTTTTTTTATGTTTGATAATGCCATGAAGATTTTATTACAAATTAAAAGTGTTACATGCAAATTTAATTGGTCGTGCAGCAAAGGGGTAAAAATATTTAAAAATCTTGTGCCGTAAAGAGATGCAAAGTGTGCCTTGAACAAAAAAGGGTTAAGAACCACTGATCTATAACTATATGTAACTATATAATCTATATAACTATATAACTATATAATCAATAACCAGTATTATACTGTATGAGTTTCGTATTTATGTATTAAAATATTTTATGCTTTTAGAACAGTGAACGTTTTGACGTTAATTAAATGTACAGGTTTTATTCCACCCATAAAAAATCACTCCAAATACTCCACTGTGTCGTATACACTTACGAAATCGAAATAAATAACGAGCAATGATACGCACGTGCAAGCATAGGGGACTACAGCCCCTATAAGCAACTGTTTTCTAACGCTCTTAGTCGACCTCAAAGTTAATGATTAATTTGATTTTTCCTCGGTCTGATTTTCCGCAGACCCGACGAAATAAAACGAGACAACAAAAGCAACTGATGTATTAAATGTACTTTGTACATGTACATGTCGCCCTAGCTAAACACATCGATACTGTGAGTAAATCGGTCTGTGCGTACGGTTTGTTTTAGTTAAGGGAAAATTGTGTAAGTGCACGTCGTTTAAACGTTCTTTTTGACCGTCAACAAAACCGTGTTTGGTATATTGTACGAAATCGTTCGTTCTTCCGAATATGCGTGCCACCCCGCGAATATGTTTCTGAGAACGTTCAGATCGTACGCAGTATACACTTTCGCGGATGATTTACACGTGAATTTATCGTACACGTATTTCCGCAATCACATAGCGGAAAATCGATCAATTCACATGTTCTGAAAACGTAAATATACTGATATCGAATATACTATATCGCAATATACTGATTTTTTATAATTTGCTCACGGCGTAGGACGAACGGTTAACAGACCAACACGTGGTGTACAGAAAAAAAGGTTCGACGAACAACGGTGTCGTGAGCACGAGTGACGGAATGTCTATGACGTGTAGAACAAAAGTGCTAAGTTTCACCGTAGATATACGCCATTGTGGAGCCCAGTGCCGCGTTAAGCTATATTGCCGCCCCGGGGCAAATTAAAATATGCTGCCCTTAAGAAAATTACAATTCAAAATTATGTTCACCACACTATTAATTACAGTCAGTAGCGTATAAACGGGGAGGATGCAAAGATACTACATATGCAAAAACAATAAATTTACAAATTATTCATATCGATATAACGTATATTTTAAGTATCTAATTCTTACTTATATTTAAATTTCATAATTATTAATTAAATCTCACATGTAAATTTTAAAAAATTACCAAATGTGTCAAATTATAATCATTTATTACTTTTTTTTACTACTTTTTTTTATATTAATTTTTTTTCTTGATTTGATGGTTGCAAACTGGTGGATAATTTCTGACCAATCAGTATGTTTTAAAAGATCATCTTCTATGTTTAATATTGAAAGCGATGACATTTTTTCCTCTATTAAAGTGGATCTTAGATAATTTTTTATTCGTTTTAATACGGAAAATGATCGTTCCCCACTTGCATTTGTTGAAGCCATACAATAAAATATACACATTGCTATTTCAACGTTAGGGAATGATGACAATAGTGCAGAATCAGTGAGACATTTTAAAAACTTAATGAATGATGATTTTTCCTGTGTTGAAAAAAAAACCAAGAATTGATTTAAATTGCACTGCTTCTTCTATAAACGAACTATCTAGATCTTCTGAATATAATTCTACTAGATTTTTAGCACTGTCACGTATATTATCTGTATCCATTGATTCCATGACTAATATAAAACCAAAATTTTTATGAAGTTCAGTGTAAGCTAGTTTTCGTTCACATAAATTTATAATTAATCGGTCAATTATAACTAAGAATACTTCACATTTCATCTTTTGACAACTTTCCAATACTTTTTCATCTGCAGTTTCATTTTCATCAAAAAACCTTTTTCTTTTTTTTCTTTCTTGAAATTTCCCAGGAAAAACATTTTTCTGAAGACATTATTTTTGCTTGTTCTAAGAAAAAGTCAAATTTGTTTCTAATGTCTTCTAAATATGTTTCTAATGTCTTCTAAATATGTTTCCAATGATTTGTATAATGTTACAACTGTGACTAAATCAATATCAATAGATTGTAAAGTTACACTTGTCGCATTAAATCTTTGAAGTATAGGCGTCCACATACAAATCATGAAACAAAAATTTAAACTCTTAATTTTATTATAAATAGAAGATGCTTCATGTCTAGTTTCCTTTTTTTGTCCTTCATCATCACGAATAGTTTTTAAAGCACTGAGAACTTGTTCATATCCATTAAATATTGCTTTACAAACATCGTACCTCGAAGACCAACGAGTTGTGCACATTTTTTTTATCTGAACACAATCTGAATTATTATTAATTATTTCACATAAAATATTCCATATATATGTTGACGCAGAAAAAAAAATTGTAAATCGCTTGGCAATTAAAAAAGAAAATTGTTCCTTCTTGAGTAGTGTCAGCGGCATTAGACCCTATTAAATTTAAAGAATGCGCCGAACATGGCACGAAAAATGCTGTTGTAGAATGACTTTTAATTCGAGACTGTAACCCATTATAAATACCCGACATATTAGACGCATTGTCATAAGATTGACCTCTGCAGTATTTCAAATTTATGTTAAGTTCTGAAAATTTTTTAACTATTGCCAATTCCATATCTGTTCCTTTATGTCCTACAGAGGACATAAAACCAAGAAAACGTTCTACAGACTTGCCTTCTTTTGTAATATACCGTACTGCAATTGTGAGCTGATCATGTGTTGTTATATCAGGAGTCGAGTCCACTATAAGAGAAAAATATTTTCTTTCTTTGATTTCCGATACAATTTTGTCTAGTATAGTATTACTCATCAGCATTATGAACTCGTCGCATATAGTTGATGACAAATAGGACACATTTCCTTTTCCTTTATTTCCATATTTGGCTATGTGTGCAGAAAGAAATGGATCAAAATTTGCCAAAAGTTCTAAGCATCCTAAGTAATTACCATTTTGTTTTGAACCAAAAGTCTGGTTGTCTCCTCTAAAAGCTAAGCCTCTCGATGCTAAAAAAGAAATTGTCTCGACTATTCTATGTAAAACATTTTTCCAATAAAAAGTCTGATTTTCAATATCTTTCTTTAGTTCTATATCAATCACACTACAGTATATTTTTATTCGAGAAAACCAAATTTTCACTGATTCAGCATGATTTTTACTGGTTTCATGTTCTTGTAAAATTTCATTACACTTTTTCCAGTTTATAAATCCTTCATCTTTATTTCCAAAAACTGTTGGTTTTGGTGAGAAAAGTAAACATTGATAACAAAACAGCGCGTTTTTGGACGAAGAATATACAATTCAATCTCTAATTTTTTTTTCACCGTTTTGTAATTTTCTCATAAAATTATCAGGAGTTAGGCATCTACTTGTATTGCCAATTATTCTTTTTGTTTTTTCGAATGGTAATTTTTGTAAGTCTAACTTTGGAGGGTTTTCAAGTAGGAAGTTAATAGAATCTGAATCGTAGTTCCATTTTGCTGGGTCGGATAAAGGAATTTGTGATGCATGACCAACGTTATGAAAAGAACTTTTGATGATTTCAGTCTAAATTTAGTAAAAAAAACAATTTTAAAATAAAAATTTATAATAGGAAAAAAATGCAAATAAATCACGGGTCTAATTTGGGAATCGTACAAAAAAAAAAAAAAAATATAGGAATATTCCGAATATAACGATATGTTCATACATTTCATTAAAATATAAATATAAAACCATACCTATATCGATTAACTACATAATTATTATTTAATAAATAATAGGTATATCTGTCGTTTCAAAATCCAAAAGCCAATGATTAGTCAGTCTAAAATATTATATATTATAGCACAATATAGCAAATAAACGAGTCACGGTAAACATTTCTGTATCAATTTCCGATTCTGCAATCGTTTAGCCGGGCACCGGCTAATGACGGTCATTATCACGATAACGACTACGATAACCAAGAGACTAATAATTCCTAGAACAACCTCATAGCGCATGCACAAGTCACTGAATTTAGTTATTGAATTTTTTTCGTTTTCAAAATCGTATTCAAAAAAGAATGATTTATTCCAGTGACCCGATTTAAATTTTGAAAATAGATCTGTATTAGTTGACCTTTTTGCTAGGTTATGTAGAAAAAATAATTGAGATTTTAAAACTGTTTGAATGAAAATAACAAAAAAATAGTTTTATGGTTTTTAATAAATTAACAGTATATTTTTAACGGTCGACGAATAACGGTCCACGCTCCGTATCGAATAAAAGATATTATATATTAAAATTTATACTCAAAAATTAATTGGCATTAAGAATAAAATTGTTTAGCTGATTATTCATATGATATTATTAATTATTATTCATTTGATGTTTTATAACAAAAATTCATAAAAAAAAAAAAAATTGTAACATTAAATAATCAGTAGGTGCCGATCAAAATTATTATTTTTTTCAACAATACCTGTCGTTCATTTGCCGAAGTCCCTTCTTCTGCGTGTTCATTGTCATTTTGAACGTCCACCTGATTAGTTTGAACTTCATAAGCACCATCTAAATTATTTCCTATTTTATCTATGTTTTTTGGACTATATTTCTTTAATTCCGATTCCGTCTATTACATAATATTATATTTATACGTGAGTAAAGTATTAAGAAATAAAATGGTATAATTTAGGTATGAAAGTACGACAACGTAATATACTTTTTCCGGATTTGTAGCAGCAAAATATAAATGAAGTTTTGGAATTTTTCTAAGCATATTATCGGTCTTTTCTAGTTTTTCTTTTGCCGCCTTTTTGTATGCTGCGCCGCTTAATCTAATTCGTTTGTCTGACATTATTGTTGTTGTGAAAATATTATTACCTACTTTATATTAATATTATTAATGCACATAACTCTTGTTATTGTGAAAATAATATTTCAACTGTCAAAAAAAAAAAAAAAAAAAATCGTCGAACTGAAAAAAATGTTTGCACATCCAACAGTGTAATGTGCCGATTATCGAGATAAAATATAATGATATATTGATATACATAGTTGTACCCAACTATTTTCGAGGAAAACGTACAGGAATATCGAAAAAAGTTTATACGATAACAGTACAACTAGTACAAGTTCTTAATTCTTATCGCCTTGTGACATGCAGTGATAGACCGCGGCTTTTTCGTGGTATTTATGAACAAAATAATAATGTATTATAGTTATACGGTCAATGGTCATACAAGAAAAATTATAATAATATATATATTTTTTTTATGTTGATCCTCAAAATTTGCCGCCCCATCAAACACCAAAAAATTTGCCGCCCCGGGGCAATTGCTCCCCCTTGCCCCCCGTTAAACACGGCTCTGGTGGAGCCGCACCCTGCGCACAACCTCCAACTCCGTCCGATGTCACGGATTGCTGTACATGCACGCGAAAACGTTCAGAACACCTAACCATACAATATCTTAGAATTGCCACGACCATATCGGAGCAAATAATATTATCAGTGCCGTAGTGGAGGGTATACGGCGGTATACGCCGTATACTTTCTGGTTATTTCTAATAAACTCCGTATATCTTCAGATGAAGGTCGTATTTTCTCTGTTGTAGTGAAATTATATATATTGGGCGATTGACGGGCATGTACTGTAGATTAGATAATATAGCAATCAAATAACTGTATAATATCTGTATTTAAGATAAAAATAAAATGTTCAGCCGTCGCATAATACTGTTTAGTGTATGCATTCGTTCATTTTTCATTTTTCCGTTGACAGTGATTCGTATATCATATCTGTGTATTATGTCCAGTCGATCAATAAAAAGGTACGTGTTTATTTTATTTGCAAATCTATTTTAATAAGCAGTTATAATATGGATAGTTGGTTAAAAACGAGAAGTTTATTAGAAAGAAAAAGGAAAGACGATCATGCGTTTTAGCTACTTGATATGATACCTAATGATAGTATAAATATTTAATATTATAGTATACCCTCTGCCTTTTTAGGACTACAGCACTGAATATTATGTATTATTTCAGTGATGGGCGGCAAACGATTCGCGCGCTACATGATTCGTATGCAATAAATATTCACCGAATATCAGTGAGGATCTAAAATCGCAAACAACGTCCGGTGGCGAATAATTCGAGTTAACAACACGTGCTAAAACCTAACTGCCCTGACTGCAACCGGTAGTCATCAATAAAATATTGGTAATAATATAAATAATAAAAATTAATTCGTTCCACAGAGATAAATGCAAACACTAAAAGTAAGCGTTTTTCTTTTTTTTTTTTTTAATTTGCCTTTGAAAAGTAAGCGTTATACCCATTCTTTGACCGAAAGACGAAAGAAAAAACGGAATGAAAATCGTTTAAACCAAAGTGCATTTCAATTAAGTTATTCGTGCGCTTTATTACATAATATAGTTCATGCTACTTCCTATCATTTTGGTGACATTTAAATGCGAGCATTGTAATTTGTAGCACTTTGAATAAAACTAACAGAGATAATTTTAGTTTATGTTACCGTAATGGTAAAATATCTTTACCGTTTGTCTAATGTGAAATCGGTTTACCGTTGAAAATTTCTTGATTTAAAGACTCTTGTCTAAACAATTTCGAAAAAACATACGTCAATATATTTATCATTTGTCTCTTTTGGTTCTCAAATAACACCACCCATCGGGGAATGGGCCTTTTTATTTTAAAATACATAATAATATTTCATATATACATCATTGGAACATTATTATAATGACACATACATTTTTTATATTTATTTATATATATATATATACAAATAATTATTCAACAATGTTATTTTTTTTTACTATAAACTGGCACCAACGAGTTATTCAACAATCTCAGTTTTTTTTTTTACTATAAACCGGCAGCGACGGGTTACTCGAATAAAAATATTAGAAACGCCGTAGTCAAAACAACGATGCGATACCATCTCGGTACGGTAACCTATATGTAATCCGTTCTAATTATTCGCGGTACCGGAATACGGTGACCGTACCCACGGTTTATGGAGAATTTTTTTTTTAAATATATAAATATAATATTATAATAATATTGTGTGCATAAACCTCGGGCCGTGTATTCATTGCAAACACGCGTATCATATATTATAGATACCTTGGATACCTTGATTGTAGTATATAGAGCACGCGATTCGAATAGATGTATTGTGTCGGTTGTTGGATTTCCAAACGGATCACAGCTTTTGATATTTAAACTGTTTCCCGAATCAATGGTCGGTGGAAAATTGGATATACATGGATGTATACAATCTTAATTTAACACATGAATTACATTTTTAAATAATTTCTTATGATAATCTATTTATTTAAAAAAAAAAAAAAATTAGATTTAATTAGATTTATCTAATTCAGATAATACGGTTGTCTCATGGTTAATATCGTAATTTTTTTTTTTAACGTTTTAGTAATAATTAGTAAATATTGTGATGGAGTACTTTTTTTTTCATTGGGCAAGGTTTATTCATTATTTTGATTTACCGGACTCGGATAGAAACTACTCGGTGACCCCAAACGTATGCGACGTAGGAAAAATAAATCAATTGGTATAAAACCGGAATATACTATACGGAAGCGGATCGCATGAAAAGCCCGGGCTTTGGCCTTGGGTTTTGTGTGTACTAGATTGCAATATGATACGGCAATGTTGTCAAACACGATCGTACTTGAAAAACATACGCATCATAATATTATATTTAATAAGGATTTCTGCTGTGATATCGCTCGCTATAAAATATTTTAGTTATGCAATTCAAAGTTACAAACACTTCCGTCTCCCACAGAAGCTTATAGAGGACTATTTAAAAAAAGGCTATAGTTGAAGTTCACAGTGAGATAGTTTCATGTGAACACAGACCTAGGATAAAGTGATGTATTATTCCCAATTATTTTTAGTCTAGTTTTAAAAAAATAGTTGAATGTATCACCTAACCTATGAAATTGGATAAAATGTTAATAAGTCTTTTAGCATATGCAGATGACTTAGTGCAATGCCGTAGCCAGAAAATTGTTTTGGGGGGGGGCCATTAATTTTTTTCTCAATTTTTGCAATACTAGAATACCTAATCATCACCTATTACTTTATGGCCCCTTTGCTTATAAAGTGTTAACTACAGACCTATTATTTTTATGACTACCATTATATGCTAACAACTATGGTACCCATATATTTAACACATTATTATATAATTATTATATTATTTGTTATTAACAAAGTATTATTATTTCTTTAATAATATTTTTAAAAATTAAAAAATAACAAAGTATTAAAATATTATGTTAAAACATATATTGATAGAATAATATCATAGATTAATCTTGAATTATATAAATTAAAAAATTTCTGTGTGATGTACTATGGGTCTTTGACCAACAAAAAAAAAAAAAGAAAGAGTTCGGGGGGGGAGGCACGTGCCCCCAGTACCCCCCCTGGCTACGGCACTGACTTAGTGTATACTTGCTAATTATTAAAAGGAATCCAGAATACATTGAAACCAGAAAACAATGGGATGAAAGACAAACAGAAAATATCTTAAGCGTAGAGTCCTACAGTTTTAAAAAAGTATCAGAATTCAAATATTTGGTACAATGATCATCCAATCGATCAATATGGAATACGATAAACTATGAAGAATACAAATGGACAACAAGTGTTATTACGCACTAGAAAACTTATTTAAGTTAAAAACACTCACAATGAAGCTAAAAGTCCAACTATACATTACGCTAATAAGAACTATATTATTGTATGGAGTGCAATGTTGGACTTAAAGAGTGAACAGTTAAGACTGAGGTTTTAGAAAGAAAAATATTAAAAGGTATATATAGACCCTGCTGTGACCCACGAACGGAAAGGGCGTATAACAGCGGTTCCTAAACTTTTTTGGAACACGCATCCTCAAAACAAAAAAAAAAAAATTAATCGTAACTCTCAATAAAACATTTTTTAATATTTAAATATATAAACTAATTACTGCCAATCAAAAAATAAATTGTAGTGCAATATACAATACAAGTATTTACCTTGCGCCTCCCAAAAGAGGCATGCCTCACAATTTGGGAACCTCTGACGTAAAAGATATAATGATGACCTATGTAACCTGTATAACATATCGGATATAGTTTAAATGAGAAAAAATAAAAATACTGGAATGGAAAACAACAAGCCTACCTGAGAGGGGGTTCAACTCCTTCCCAAAATTTTAATGAGTTTAGAAAAAAATGTACTGCTTAATATTTTCATACAATTTAAGTTTAATAACATAGTATATAATTAACTTCTAATAGACTTAGAATAGGATAAAGATTGTTAGATATTGGCCCAAATTCTTGATTTTTGGAGACGGTCATGTTTGGATGAGTTGCCTTTTAGGAGGCCGTAAACAGGAAAAAAATATATAAAAATCTTCTCGCCAACCGTACACTATCTGTTCGATGTGCAATTATATGTACATCATCCGGGGTCGTCATGTAAGGAGGGTGCTTGTATCTATTACTTTTAAGACAGTGCTATTTTACCATCGTGCAAAATAAAAATAAAAATTAGAAGGAAAATTAAATATTTTTCTAGTATTCTGTAAAATTAGAGTTATTCACTCAAAAACAAAATAATAACATTTTTAGTTTTTATTGATAACAAGTACACTTGTTATTTTATATACATATAAAATATTTAATACAATAACTTAGATAGATGAAGACGACTGAGTGGAAATTGATTAAAAATTAAAAATATAATGTATCCTACCCCACTGGTATTATACTATTATGAGAAGATCCCGGATTTATATGCATTTAAAAAGTGTCAAATATAATGCAAAT